GACTTAATTCAGAGCCCTTTCCCTCCTTGTACTGGTGCAAGACTTGGCCATCAGTTATCAATCAGGTGTGAAAACAGCACGGTTATTCGCTCCCCGTAGGCAGCTTTATCAGGCAGCATCTCGGAATAAAATTGGCTTTAACCTTCAGGGAAACCTAGCCACCACATGTGAGAACACGGCAGCAGGCATATCTTGATTAAAGAAAAAAATGCAAGACAAGTGGACTGCTAACCACCTTATTACCTGTCACTGATAATTTTAACTAACGGGGTTTTTTTGTTTTTGTTTTTTTTTTTTTTTAACTAAACGAAAGCATTGAAGGCGTTTATTGCCTCTCTGGGGCCACTGGGTTAAGAGAAACGCCCGATGACCCCTGACCATAGCGACTGTGCTTTTTTTTTTAATGTCAGCTGTTGTACTTCAATTACTCATTTGTTTATATATTTTTCAAATAAAATATGAAAGTAGAAGATTAGCTTGTCAGGACTTTACTGGCACCTTACAAGGCTTTCCAGGGACATGGGAGAAACTGGCCATTAAAATGGAAGGAAAAAATAAGGCTTTTAATTGCTGCCCTTAGCAATGCGGGAGTGGGGAGGGTTGAGAGTAACTCGGCACAGCGCCGGAGAGGGACGGATTTCGCCAGTAGGTGCCAGTGCGATTATGGGAAACGTGTCTTCTGGGGTTGCCTAGGAGGGAAGCGTTCATAAAGCTTGAGGGGAGTGACTCAGAACTACATAAATCCAGGGGCAGGCTCTTCAGCAAAAAAAGGCAGTTGTGCGAATGCTTCAAGTAGTGATGCAAAGCTCTTCTGATTGGCCCGTGGCTTCTGGAAACTTTTTCAGACTGGCGTACCTCGTACCTTTATTGGTTTTCTTTTTTCCCTGCAAATTGCAGGCATATAATTGAACAGAGGTGCATACCTCAAAGCTGCTTAATAGCAAAGTAAGCCCAGGTAAAAACAAGCTTTTCACTGTCCTGTTAGAAGTAGTCCAGAGATCCTAGGAATTCAGCAACCGCAGGCTGAAAACTGTCAGTGAGTCATGAGCATTGTATTGCACTCAAACCCCGTGAAAATTCTGTTCATGATCACAGGAAATTAAGTTAAAACTAAAACCAACAGAAAATGCAAAGCACAGCATTGCTCAGAGTGTTACGTCTTCGTTGTTGTTGTTCTTGGCTCATGGACGATAGAGTATGTGATCACAGCTCTATAAGCTTTCAGATTGAGAAACTTATTAACAGTGTAAATGCAGCTTTGTCTTGCAGTGTATCTTGATCCGAGTTTCCAATAGGGCTGTAGTCCTGGGCTTTAGTGTGGTCATGGTTTAATTCACAAAAGTTTGGTCTTTGCAGCATAAAATGGGGAAGCTGTATCATTTGGAGCTGGCTCAAGGCATCTCGGCAACGGAAACAAGACAGATAAAGGGTCAATCCAGGCTTCTGTAATGGTAAGGGTAGAAACGGAAGAGCAGAGGCAGTACCCTTAAGGACTCAAATGCCATATTGGATGGAGTGGAGCCAGCAGATGCCATAGGGACCACGTGTGGATGCCACTCCAGCATCCCAGTCTCTTCCCCAGTGACAGCCAGCAGCTGGCCTTTCCAGCAGTCGGCCTTTCTAGCAGTCTGCTGTGGGCAGGAAAGCTGCAGGCTTTCTGCTGCCCCTGGCAGTCATGTCCTTTCTTGCCCCAGCCATGGCTCTTTCTGATGGCATGGGGCTCTTCCGGCAGCTGTGATTTACTATGGTGCAGGCAGGATCAACTCTAGCAGAAGAGCAGCAGTTAAGTGATGCTGTCTACTCTCAGTGATCCCAAAGGTGCTCAGCTATAGTCTCTTGGCCGAGCTATGGCATGGTGACAGAGAGGAAAAAGAAAAGGTGCAAATTCAGGCTAATACAAAGAAAGAACCCTTCGACACTTCCACTGTCAAAGTAGATGGATATCTAAGGCTGCAGCATCCTGTATTTTCTCAGCTGTTTCCTCAGAGAAGATGTTTCTAAAAATTGGTTGATTTGATTCCAATTATTTTCTTTTGCAAGCTTTCAGGTGGCTTATGATGTTATAAAAATCTGAGAAGGGACACACAATAATGAAGAGAAGAAAAACCAAAAACCATTGGTACTCTGCATTTTGCACAGATTTTCTTTTCCCTTTTAGGTAGTTTTAAATAGAAGAAAACACCTTTTAAACCAGGGATGATATTATTATTTAATATTAAACTAACTAAAAGTTTTTGTCAACTGAGAGAAAGAGGTGCTTCCAGAATAAATTCATCTCACTCTAGAATAAGGGTCTGGGATAGGTGAGATTAATTTTCTTCTGAAACTGGCTGCTTTGCACCATCAGTTACAAAAAGGCCCAAGGGTGAATGGATTTTAGATGTGCAAAGCTAAATAAGACTAATGCTGTATTTCGTCCATTCCAAAACACAGTTGAATTAATAAAATTACCAGTTGCTAATCTACAACCAATAAATGTCACCATCACCACCCCCTTTTAACTGCAGAGGTTAATAGTTGAGAATAGTCACATATGACTAGTGGGTTTTGGTGCCTTGATTTGGTTGACTTAAAGGAACCTGCTTTTCGGAGAGTGTTCTTCCATCTGAAAAATGAGTGGTATGACAATATCCAAAAACCTGTAGGCCATCGATAGTACAAGTTGATTTGGAAAGTCTGGTCCTGCGTTGTGCAGTGTACAGAAGTCTTCACAGCTGCATTGCCCAAAGCAAACAGATGGTTTGACCTGCAAGGTTTTGTTTCATGTAAAATTCATGTTGTGAATTGAGAAAAAGCGTGTCCAGGGTGTGTTGTTCTGGGTACTGCTTAGTGCGGTTATTAGAGCAATAACAACCACAAGCAAACACACCGGAAGAGTCATCCTCACCCAAATGGTTTGAGGAATGCTTCTCGTCTGGGAGTGCAGAAGGAGTTAACTGAAAGATCAAAGCTACGAAGTCTGCCAGAAACATGAAAACCCAATGGTGTGAGACACCATAAAAGGGTTAAAAACGATGATGTAAATCATGTGTGTTGGTTAAAATGCTGTGAAAGCGCAGACAGAACCTGGAGGTATAATAAATAATCTCTGAATACCTGAGAGCCTTATGGCCTCTCCGTCATTAATCAGAAACCACAGACTGAGGGATTGGCTGGCAAAACATTAATCATTAAGCAATTAATTTCAGCCGTGAAAACAAAACTTTGTGATTTCCTGAGTAGGTGGGATTGAAGGAGGCACGGCATGTGTTTGCTTTTTCACCATAAAGGAAATGAAGGAGGGCTGAGGAGGTCATACATTCATCATTCAGATGGGATAGAAAATCTCCTTTATTATCCAGTTCTTCCCTTCATTTTTGTTTGTATGAAACAGGAAGAGGGAAAATCGCCACAGCTTTTCCTAGGAACCAGTAGTGAGCCTCTTGAGCTTTAAACCTTTCTAGATGTGACATTAACAAAAAGGGGCTTCATTTCTTGTGTCGTCTATGTTGCTCCAGTTCTCCGTAAAGGCATGCGAGAAATACCTTTTTATTCTTCTCATCAGCATCGCTAGCCATAACAGTTGTCTTGTGAGACTCAGGACATCTGCCTTCTTTCTCTTTTCCTCGAATCCCAGTTTCTAACTATTTACCAGTTACCTTAGGATCTTGGCTTTCTTGGCTTTCCTTACTTTTAGTATTTATAGCTATGGAGAAACCTAAAAATGAAGGTATTAAAATCTGAATAATCCAAACACAGGGAAAGTAGAGTTGAAAATAGGTACGTACCGATTTTGATTTTCTGCCTGTCATTTAATTTTGCAGATACTTGAATTAGTTCAAGGGACCTAGATTATGTATTTTTTCATATTTGGTGTTGGAAATGCTGCTAGAACTGCGACTTGTTTTTTTTTTAAATATGAAATGGACACATAAAGAAGCATCTTAGTCATGTTTTTCTTACTGTTGCTGGGTGGAAACCTGGCCCCTCAAGGGCTGTGAGCACAACTTTACAGCCAACTTTAAGAGACCATCTTTTGGTAAGGTACTGTTGGAAGGATGGTGAGGTGTGGTATAATTAGAAGTTGCCTAAATAGTGACTGGGCCTGGAAAATTTGCCAAGTGCCATGTGGTAAGTTTGTGACAGAAACCAACCGTGGTTCTTTGGCTGGTACGTAACGCCTGGCCATCTGCCTCGCCAAGCTGACGGCATCAATACCGGGGGAGCAACTGCAGGAGCCGTTGCCTCAGATCAGCCTGCTCAGTGATTGCAGCAGGCAAAGGACCTTGTTGCTGGCTTCTGAAGGATTAGTCATGAGTTTGAGACACCATTTATTTTAAATACAGTCATTTTCACAGCAGTATTCAAATGCCACCTTCTCCTTGCCTAAAAAGTGTGGAAATGTCTAGCCATGAGACATGCAAGGAAAACTGTCAGCAAAATAGATGTCACGGTTTGTGCAGTGTACCCTTTCAACTCCAAAGACGTGTCATCAAAGTAAGGGTTTTACAGAAATGAGTGTGCTGCCTTTACCTTGTGTGTCCATAAGATGCCTTCACATACAGCAGTTCCCTTTCACCAGACGGCATCTTAGAGTTCATGCAGACAATCGGTAACGTTCATCTCATCCTCTGCTCACATGTGGTTTATGGCAAAACGCAGAGCATATATTAATATATGTTTATCAGTTAAAAGACTGCCATCCTCTTTAGAGATACAACTCCTGATGTAGGCATAACAAAAGCCCCAAAGGTTAAAATAAGTGTAATCTTGTATGAGAAGTTTTGAGAGTGTGTTCAGCTGGACAGAAGACAATATGCACTGAGAAATAGAATTTTTTGTACTTGTCTGTTATGTCAGTCTCGTTACAGGGAGCCAATTTCAACAGTCCCTAGCTAAGCAAAACACTTCATGAGAGCAGAATCTGTCCGGCACAGATGGCCTGAATTCATGCATTGCTGCTGAGATTCTAACTGTGATTATTCTTCATTTCCTCCTTTTCCCCTCAACTTGTGAATTAGTCTCGTTTGAGGAGACAGGATGTCGGCTTGAAAAGCCACCTGGATCAGCTAGACCAGCGAATAAGTGAGCTGAGATTGGACGTCAGTAAAACCTCCAGTGAATACTTGGATAGTGACAGCCGGCCCAGCTCAGGTAAGGTGCACTTGGTTGTTTATTCCTAGGTGTGTGGTGGTAGGAGAACTGACGGGTGTCAAGTGCTAAGCAAAACTCTCAGTACTGTTTGGTCAGAAACAGTGCTCCATGGCTGAGGTGGAGAGTAGTCATCTGACACAGAACACACTCACTGAACTGGTGGGAATTTTCCTACAAAGTTGATTCAGTTGGAAAATGCTTATCCATTCAAGCAGTATTTTTTTTCTGGATTTTTATTTTATAATGGATATTTTAACCACAAATGGAAAGATGAGGAGACAGATTTATTAATTACCTTGTCCAGTGCAGAATGACCATTGTCAAAGTGGCTGGAGTACTTAATAAAAGTTAGAGACCAACAGCTCTGTCAATGCTCTGCTTGAATCCAAGGTGTGTCCTGAACCTCACTAAAGCTTTGAAGATCACTACCACTGCAGTGCTCTGGCCAAATGAATGTTTGACCATCTGTGTAAAAATGAAACACCTCTATCAAAACACTGAGGAAAAAATGCCCCAACAGTTTGCTGACTAAAGCTCTCATGGACAGAAAGAGATTGAGTTTCAGGTTTCTGGTCTGATTCACAGAGAGTGGTACTGCAGACTTTTGTAGCTAGGATGTCTGTTAAAACCTGTTTCTGTTTTATAGTTTGGGACAATGGAGATACTTCTCTTTAAATAGAATTTTGAACAGCCTTAAGTCTTCAGTGAGACAAGGAATGATTTTTTTTTTTTTTTAATTTGCAGCCGCTTAAGAGTGGGTATATAAAGTGCAAGTTTCTGTTGAGTGTTTAAGTTCAGGAGTTAGGTGCTTAGGCACACACAGTTCAAAAGGAAACTGCTTCCTTTTCTGTTTGCTTTATATAGAGAGGAATAATAAAAGTTCCTATCTTGAATTTAAACTGAGCCTTTTTTAATACTTTCATAATTAGTGGCAATGACCACAGGACCTGGAGAGGGAAGATAGCCTCCATTCTCTGCCCTTAGACATTCCAGCCATCACAGACCTGGCAGCTCTGATCACAGGCTAGTTTTACTCCACTTTCCCATCCAAGCTGTGCTTGTATGCACCTGGCACAAGTTACAACAGCGTAAGACAGCCCCATGTTGCATAACAGTCCCCAAAGACGTTCTCCAGTGAAGAACTTGGTGTGATGATGCTGCACTTCATCCCATCCCACCTTCAGAACTGATCATGCATGTGCGTGCCAAGTGGCTCAGGGCCTAAGTAAATAGCAGAAGCCAAATAAAAGGTGGTTGAATTAGAGTATACCTCTGCTAAAGTTACCCAAATAAATGATCGTTAATTTAGGCCTGTGGCAAATAGCAAATTAAGATGTATTTTATTCTCTGCATATTTCTTCTACAGAGCATGTCTGGTTCCTGTAAATAAGAAATATCTTGCTATTTATTTTAACTCTGCAGGCTTCTATGACCTGAGCGATGGTGGTTCTTGCTCACTCTCAAATTCTTGTACCTCTGTGTACAGTGAGTCCATGTCCTCCTCCCACACCAGTCTCTTGCCCGGCTCTCAACACCCTAAAGCAAGGCTCAGTGTGTTTGACTACCGACCCAAGTCTGCAGATGAAACTACTGTGCACACCACCAGCTTCCAACAGCAGGGAACCCATGTCAGCGATGGATGTCCGATTACAGCTAGCACAGACACTGCAGGGACTCCCTCCAGGTCTCGACCCAGACCGGTGTCCACAGGTAATCGACTGCAGAACTGTATAACTCATTCAAGAGAAGGGCAGAATCTTGGTTATTACATTTAGGACCTAATATGCCAATGTGTAATCAGTATATAGCACTCACTTTCAATAGACAAAGTGAGAATTAATTGAAACCACAGAGCCAAACCTCTTGCTGTCCAACTTTCACTTGTCTCCACCTCTTGTTTACCCATCTGTGAAATGGCATCATATCACTTCTTACTTTGGGCCCTTCTGTGGCCTCAGAGCAACCTTGTGTTAGTGCAGTACATATGGTGGCCCAGCCAGATGTGTGACTGTTCCCCTATAGAAACAGGGAAGCCATAGGGAACATAATTTCTTTAGGGCCTACAAGAAGGCTGGGAGGGGACTTTTTACAAGGGCCTGTAGCAACAGGACAAGGGGTAATGGGTTTAAATTGAAAGTGGGGAGGTTTAGATTAGATATTAGGAAGAAGTTCTTCACGGCGAGGGTGGTGAGGCACTGGAACAGGTTGCCCAGAGAAGCTGTGGATGGCCCATCCCTGGAAGTGTTCAAGGCCAGGCTGGATGAGGCTTTGAGCAACCTGGTCTAGTGGAAAGTGTCCCTGCCCATGGCAGGGGGGTTGGAACTAGATGGTCTTTAAGGCCCCTTCCAACCCAAACCATTCTATGATTCTATGATAATTTCAAGTACCATGTCACTCTGGAGTCGTTCCCACAGATACTTGACCTGAGCTAGCTCACCACTGGCTTGTTTTGAGCAGAAGCAAAGAGACCCACTGTTCTGTACCGGTCTGTGCAGGCACACATGAAATGACAGTGGTAAATTACAGCATAAAGCACAGTTTTCTTAAAAAACTTTTCTTAAAAAAGCTGGGGATGGAGCTGAGCTTAATGATCCGTGGCTTCCATGTTTAGATTACTGATTTCTTGTTTGATCAGAAACTTTCCTGCCTTGCAACATTTTGCTAAGACTACAGGAGCTTTATGGCTTTTTTGGATACGGAGACAGACTAACAGAAAAAGGGATAGCTCGTTTGAAGTAGGGGTGCAGGAGTGGGGCTACAGCCCTCCTTCCTTTTTCCACCACCACCTCCCTTTTTCCTGGCTACAACATCTTACCTTCTTTTGTGTGAGAAATGTAAGTAGTGGGTGTAGTCTTGAAGAAACAACTCTCGCCAAGTTGACCACATTGCAGGAAGTGAGCAAGATGTTACTTTGGAAAAGCATCATTTGGAGCAGAGAAGAAATTTCTCTTTTCCTCTCCTTAGCTTGTCCCTACAGGTAACTGTGGGTACAAACCGATTGCCTCTTCTTTCAGAAAGCTTGCTGAGACTCCACAAGCCCAGCATACTTTTGCCACTTTCCTGGTTTGTTTGCACAGGAGGGCACCGCTACACACTGCCAACAACTTCCTAAAGAATTTTCATTATGAAAATACGTTCTTTGAGAAATCATCATCCTAACCTTTGATGTGTAGCAGGTCTGTAAGTGCCTTAGGTAGGACACTGCAGACAACACCAAATTTAGAAGTCTTTCAAAAGCTTCCTGTCACAAGACAGAAATAGTCACCATAAGTGAAACATGTGGTTGGATTTCATGATTGGGTTTCCTAGTAGCATGAGCAGCCAGGAAATCGGTTAGCTCAGGGTTTGTTGGCACTGAAGTCTGCACGATTGTGCAGAGAAATCCAAGCTAACTGCAGATGATTCCAGTACTCCTGGTACCAGAGGTGACACAGCACCATAAAGCTCTATCGATGACTTGTCTGGATGGAACAGTCTTGCTACACACATGAACATAGCCTGTCCTCTCAGTGCACAGGAGATGCTCCTGAGAGGAAGGGGCAGCAGTCAGGTGTAACTTACAGCAACCTTGACAATACTCCAGAACTTAAGAGGTGGCCATAAATCCCATCTTCAGGGTCTAGGCTTCCTATCTGCCTGAGTTGTTACCCTTACATTTTTTTGTCTGTCAAAGTAAAGGTTCTTTAGTCCATTTTTCCGTGTCCTTTAAGGCTGACTTATTTCTTACTGAAATTAAATATTCTAAGAAGTTAGTTACTTGAGAAAGGCATGAGACTGGTAACGTTATCAAATTAAATGAGAGATCCAGTTAGGGGGTTTCATTGGATTTGGGGTTAAGAAAGAGTAGAGTCACATCACTCTTTGGCCTATGGGATACGTAAGTCATAATGGCTCTCCTGTGTGTGTTGCGTGCTTCTGTTTACTAATGCCTTACAAAAGTAAAATACAAAACAATAAACAACTACAGCATCCAGCATTTAAGAGGTTAAGAAACACTATAACCTAGTGTCTGCTTCAGTCTTCTTAAAGCAGCTGGTTAAGTACTATAGATTTTTCCAAGACACATGATATAAAAGGCTTGGAGGAAAAGCTGGAATTCAAATTTAACCACTTTAAAAAAATTACCATTGACTCTGCATGCTGGATATTTCAGGAATTTCTGACTTATATATGTCCAGAGGACATCTTTATCCTGTTTGGGGGAAAGTGTTCAAAAAATGTATCTGTTGTGTTGGTTAATATTACGTGACATTCAGCTTCGGGCTTTCTGGTTGTTGGATTCGTGTTTATCTCTGCTAAGAAAGATAAATAATCCCATATTTTTGTTTTGTCCTGTTACTCTGTGAATTCTAGAACATTTTTATATATGCACAGATCTGCTTTCATCCAAGTAGCACAGTTTAAATTTCCTGCAAAGGCATGAGTTTTATTATTGGCAGAAAAGGCATTCTAATCTCTCTTGTGCTTAGGTGAATAAAAACCTTGAAGTAATTCAGTGATCTTGGAGGACTGAACCTATTTTCTTAATTCATGCTACTGATTTTAGTAAAAGCTAGCACATACCTCTGACATAGTGCTTTCAGCATAAGCTAGTTTGAATGTTATTGTCTGTGATTTAATTAGGTTATTTATTTTCATCCACTGTGTAGGTGACTTGGAAAGACTCATTCCAGCAGACACTAGATTTCAGAAAGAGACAGATCCCAAATCCATGTGCCGTGCTGGAGACATGCACTTGCTCAGCCTGGACCCCAAATTCCAGAACGACCTTGTCTCCAAGAATGGCATTGATGTGTATCCTTATCCAAGCCCTCTTCATGCTGTGGCTTTACAGAGTCCCCTTTTCTCCCTGATGGGGACATCCCCAGAATCAGACCTCCAGGTTCCTCCCAGCAAACCCAGTGCAACAGGTCCCAGCTTGATTAGGACTAGGCCAACCACTGAGACCAAGCCAGGTGGTTACATCAATAAATTACTGCAGCTGACGAGATGCAAAGGGAACAATCGGGCTGATGCCAGTGAGTGGGTTTCAACAAAGAGCCAGCCAGTCACAATGCACCAGAGACTCATTATAACCCCCAGCGCTGGCGGAGTGAAAATTAACAGCAGCGGTAGCCAGCTGGAAAAACAAGCAAATTCTCTGGAAAGCAACAAAGCTGAAGGGAAACTGCAGAGAGAGGTGCCGGAGCGGGAATGTGCCAAGCAGCAGGAGACTCTTCGCTGTGTGAATGAAGAGCCATCCACTCAGGCTGACGCAGAGCCATCAGCTGTGAATAGTTGTTATCCTGCCAAGTCGGCAGCAAGGGGTTCTCCTCTGGCAGAAGCAACGGAGAGCAGCGTGGAGCGCAGTTCATCCTGCTCGCCGCTGTGCCAGGAGGACTCCAGCCCGGTCTCCTGGAATGCTAAAGCCATCGCACCCAGAAAGCTGCCCCTCAAACGGTGTGGCAATGCCAAATCGTCTAATGCTGTGGGTCACGAGCGAGGGGCACGGGGTGAGTTCGTTCACGCTCAGTTCGTCCCTGCAGAATCCCACCAAGTCCGGGTCAAGTTTGCCAGCTCCAAAACAAAGGCCGTGAAGATAAAGAGGAGGAACAGTGAAAAGGTGCTAAGGCCTGGGAAGCAAGCCTTTTGCATGGAGAAGGTAAGAGGGTCCCATGGGGCTGCCAGGCTGCCTGCTGAGTGGAATCAGCCCCAAAGACCACATGGAGCAAAGAGCCTAGTGCGGAGACCTTCCTATTCCGGTGACGTGACCGGCAGGTCGTGCTCAGAGTCTAGCCTGTTTCCTGCGCAGGTCAGGCTCCCCACCGTGCCATCCGGGCCAGAGCCCTGCAGAGCCTCTGCCAATGAACTGTATTCCCTCGAAGCGGCTTGCGTAGACACAGCCAACAAGAAGAAGCAGCGGAAGTGGCAGTCCACAGTGGAGATCTCTGCCAAGGCCCACCTGGCCAGCCTCTCCAGTAGCTTTGGCCTGGGAGCGCCGAGGCAGCCAGCAAGGAGAGTGGGTGTCCTGCGCACTGTCAGTATGAGGGCTCGCTCCAAGAGCCAGCGCCACGGAGCTTATGCCAAAAGCGAGTCAGACCACTCTGAGTACTCTGCGGAGTGTGCTTCCCTCTTCCACTCCACTATCGCAGAGACCAGCGAAGGGGAGGTCAGCGATTTCACGACTAACCGTTTCGGGGACAGTGAGTCTAGTGAAAGCGATTCGGATGGCAGCAGTGACAGTAGCAGCCTTGCCTTTGACTATGATGAGGGGGATGAAAGTGAGCTGATTTGGCCTGAAGGTTCTGTCAGACAATCCGGAGCTGTCCAAGCTTCTTCCAAACCTCTTCCCCCAGTGCCCAAAATCTGTCGCATCAAAGCTTCAAAGGCACTAAAGAAGAAGATTAGGAGATTCCAACCTGCCTCTCTGAAGGTCATGACCATGGTTTAAGGAGAGCATCTGTTTCTTACAGTGAGGACATCCTGCTGGCTCTCACTTGCAAAACAAGAGAACCCATGTGCAGAGAAAAGGACTTGCTTAGATGAACTGCAAATAACCCCTGAATCAACACAAGGGTCCTTGTCTGTTAATGCCTGGACCTAAATGTCACTATATGTAATTTCCTCTTTTGCCATTTATTCTGTAAATATAGATCTGTGTATATCGTGTGATGCCTTTTTTTACTATGCAGAAGGGTCACCATGGTGAAAATGAAAACAACTTCTGCCGTAAGATTGTACAGGCAGGCTCTTGAATGTTTGTTCATCATATGCACCCACAGAATCAGTCCCAGACACAAAAGCTTCCCAAGAAAGAGTCTCTTCCCAACTAGGTGTTTGGTAGCTCCCTCCCTCTTGTGAGGAATTCTTTGCAGTCTGAAGTCTGCATTAACCATCCAGCTGTCCCTGTGCTCATACAGAAAAGCTTTCAGTGCTCTTCATTGTTTTACTTTCTTTCAGATCAACCATCCCATCCATACCTTCTCCCAAACATCAGGAGGATGAGTCTGTTCTTCTGCATAAACATACTATGTTTGATCAAGAAGGCTAATGTATTTGTAAATGAGAACAAGGCTTCAGTTTGTTTACTGTTTTCAAAATGGGAGTATAGAGTTTTTTTTGTCAAACCACCTCTATGATGTTCCGTGTTATAGTTCATTTGTTGACTGGGTGAAAGAACATGAGGGCTCAGTGCCATGGTGTGTGAATAGCTGGGACTGAGATTATAGCTTTTCCCCTGCAATTGCGAACATAATAAATAATATTTAATGTACTTCTGAAAATTGTGCTTGTGTCTGACTTTGGTGTCTAAAGAAAATTATTCTGAACTCTAACACCGTGTCAGGAATGCAGAGGAGCTTGCTTTGGTGAGACAGATCTGTGTTTTTGTGATCGCTGGGCAGAGGGGCTCTTTTTCACTTTTCAGAGGGTTACTGTACCTCAGTCACAACCAGGGTCCTTTCAGCCTCTACCTCAGGAAACCTGCTTCAGCACCTGCTTCTGAATGAGTGACTTTAAAAACATTATTTGTACTGAGGGTAGGGTAGTGTTTAACCAACTCAGTTAAATTGATGCAATTTTGTGTCAAGACACTCTTAAAACATATATTAATGTATACATAATGTGTTTTGAATGCATTTCAGGGCACCTATGTGAAGCTTTGAATCAGTTGCTAAACCGGTGAAGCGATCTTTTGCGTGTGTGTGTTCAGACAAGCAGTCTTAATTCTTTCCTCTGGGTGCAGCAATCTGGAAGCTGAGCTGAAGTTCATCCTGTGTTTACCAAAGAGCAGGTATTATCCTCCTACCCTGTTTCAGTGCCCAATCTGAGTACATTCCTGGCCTTGGAGATCTAGGCATTACGTCATTCAGCCGAGTGTTCCCCTGAAACAAAAGGCAAGTGCCTTGCAGAAACTGTGGGCAAAAGACGGCTTGTTTACTCCAAGGATTCATTAGCAAACAGAAATATTAGAAGACTAAACTTTTTTACCCAATGCCTCCTGTTCTTTGGAAGCTATGTTTGATTTTTAAACCACTCTATTTTCAAATTTTTGGAAAATGAGGTAGAAATAAGTTACGTGGAGTCCTTCGATTCAAGTATTTGAGCTAGTGCATAGCACCATCCTTACTGCAACTAGGAAAATGGTGTGTTTTAGTCAGTGGAATATGTTCAAACATTTTTTCATGGTCCGTAGAGTATTGGGCATAATCACTCCAGTAGGATTAATGGGAGTTTCACAGGTCTGGTGGTGGTTTCTTGTTCACCATGTCTAGCAACAGAACAAACAAAATAGTGATTTATGCCTTGTTGACTTTCTACACCACAAAAGGATTCTTTTCCCGCTTACACAAAAGGTTTAGTTTGGGGGAGTGTGTCTGAAGTTACATATGAGCCTGTAATCCATTGATTTTCTGTATTGGGGTGGGGTTTATTGGTTAGATAGGAATTTTGAGGGTGTTTCTTTCGTGGGGGAGGAAATTGTTCCTACCTGGAAAACTGCTGTGGGTAGGAGCATTCTGAAAGCTGGTAAAAACTGCCACCCAGCAGCTCCCTACCTTTTTATCAGAGTAAGCTCAAACAATAAGTTTGCGGTCTCACAACTCAGTAAATCCCACTGTAGGGCTGTTAATGCTCTGACAGAAATGTTGCCAGACATGATGAAAGTGCTGATCCAGAATGAACTCGCACTGCCAATTCAAATAAAGGAAAACTATGACAATTTTGTACTGACAAGTTTTACCCCAGATGAGGTATCACGGTCTCTACAGCTCATACTTTCTTCCAGGTCAGATAACGTCTCTTCTCCCAGAGCCAGTGTAAAGCCAACATAAAAGCATAAAGCTGGCATAACCGTCATCATCCTGTGCCTTAGCTAATTTGACAGAAGTAGGATTATGTGCCCACACTTGATTCAGGGGAACCTGTGGTGCTGGAGGGCCCCAGCTTTTTTTGTTGAGGTGTTGCCATGTGCAGTGACTGAGCTGTGGCTTTCTGAGGAGGGCAGAACAGGGAATGCCACCCCTGCTTACTCCAGAACATCAGACCTTCTCCTTAGTACTGCCATTTGGAAACACGGTTTTCCTCTGCTGGAGCAGAAACTGCACTGGGACCAGAGCTCTGTGGAAGGAGACTCTGGTGGCCAATAGTCCAGCTATACTGGCACCAAAAATACAATTTTGGTAAAAATCACTATGTTTTGTTGGCAGGTACAGTGAGAATTTTGGTAACAACTGGGTATGGGTGTGATGCTTGTGGGTACTCTGTCAATCAGAGACTATGGGCTAGCTCTCCTAACAGCACCCAGGAATACCTGCCTCCTAAGGAAACAGGCCTGAAACATTTAAAATCAACAAATATCAATAAATACTCTGATGTACTAGTCTTTTACATGTATACTAGACATCATAAAAACAGCCTTCAGCCCCATACAAAGTCTCGTAGTGAGAATAAGGGATGCCCAGCTTTTCTCGTAGTCATGGCAATATGATACAGAAATATTCACTGTCCACTTTCCCTCTCAGAAGGAATCCACAAAATCTTTACCTTGCAGCATCTTGTAGTATAAATTCCTAAGAGAATGCAAAAAAAGTCAGTCAGTGATTCAGTTAGAAGTCTAGCACCAAACCTGGCACACTTCAGGAGTGAGAAGCTTAGCACTTTCCTTGTGACTGGATTAGCAAGTGTATAGATCTGAGTGTCTGTTTCAAAACAGCTTTATGCAGCCTCCCTGTTGCAGAAGCTAACATCTGTCATCAGCACTCCAAGCTCTCCTGCATCAAAATCATCCACTGCTGAAATCTGCACCAGATCAGCAGTTTCCTTCTGTCAAAGGCAGACATTTGCACTACCATGTAGGAGCAAATTGCTCCTAAACCACAGAGGGAAGGAAAGAAAGGGAAAAAAGAGAGAATAGAAACGGAATTAAGGAAGCTTTAAGAGCAATTTGCAGAATAGATCAGAATTATGATTTTAAAAACTCCATTAATCCCTTTATTGCTCTAACAATTGTGGAACTGGATAATTACCGGTCTTCTTGGCCATGACACAATCTTAGATTTTCCAGTCCATATCCGGTACCCAAACTATGGGATAGAGACAGAGGACTGATGTTGGAGACACCATCGTTCCAACCAGACGTTCATATGAAGTGACTTCTGGTCAGGCAGGGCACTGGTCAAAAGAAAGGCGCTTACCTTGCGGTGAGCCTCGGAACCAGCTACAGATGATTCTCACGCTGGTGAACTTGAGCCCAGTGAGCATTTTAAGGCTGTGCTGGAGCCCGTTTTGTGTTTGCTCACCTGTCCTGGCCCAAAGATCTGAAGGGACGAGAACTGGAGGCAAGTGAGTTCCCAGGAGGAGCTGAGAGGCCGGAGGCAGCGGCAGCTCTTTGGGAAGTGAGTGGGTGCCGCAGGATGGGGCAGGCACTGCAGGGCTCTGGCAGTTCCAGCCCCATCAGCCTTCGCTAGCCCCTTTGTCGCTGCTGGGGCTTCAACCCGGCTGCACTGCTGCTCCTGTGGCGGTGCTGGGACTTGGATGCTGCACTTGCCATAGTCACAGGCCGCCTGCCCCCAAAGTCACAGATCATCACTCCTGAGCTACAAGGTCAGGGAACGCCCCAGCCCAGAGTCCTTCCAGACTACTGAGTGCAAAACCCCGTTAGGCAAAGATTGCTCAAAGGAAGCGTGCAGCAAGGCAAGGCACCTGCGGCTGCTGTCTCTAACAGGGAACAAGACAACAGCATGCCAGGGAAGGACTGCCCAGTTGCTACTCTGAAGCAGTAGCAGCAACTTTCATTTTCAAGCCCCTTTTGATCCCTCCTCAACAACCCTGGGGCTGAAGGGATCACCCCAGCTGTGCTCAGTGGAAGAAAGCAGTTCAGCTTTTAACTGGAGCAGCCTCTCTGCCCTCTACACCACAGCAAACCCTTGGGCTCCCGTGAACTCAGCCCTCCTTGCTGGACATGCTCCCCAGAAAGCTCTCCTGAGACAAGCAGCTTGAATGACCATGTAAAGGAAAGAACACGCGTTAAACTGGACAACAAGGAGTCCTATGTCTGAAACTTGTCTGTAAG